GGCTCACAAGTGCAATCAAAGTATTTATAATTTGCCTGGGATGAATTAAAGAAAGTGGATGTAAGAAGGCATGCAGACCGGTCCTCCTTTGTATCCAAAGTATAAATATTTATCTTTATCAGGTTGAGAAGTATTGCCATGTATTAAAGTAGGTGAAGTAGGTTGGGATTTGAAGGGAAGAAAAAATGTGTTTGAGTGAACCGGAAATGAATCCGGTTCACCTCCGTGCAGAATGGATTTTAAAATGTATTTATTGGGCTAAGGAAGCTGAGTGTTACACACATTTGAATATTTGCATTTAAATTCATTGGCTTGGCATGAATGGTTTTTTTAAGCAAGGCGTATGCTGCTATTGAAACTAGATTTCTGGACCTGGAACTTTCAGGGGGCTGATGGATCTTGACCTTGTTAGGATTTTTTTAATGCCATTTTCATCCAATTTATTGACAAATGTTACCTTATGTCAAATTTAATGAGAAAATAGTTTTCTACCGTAATTCTCTAAATTCAAAATTTTGGTGCTGCTTCTTGTTTCAGACTCCAAAGTTAGGGTGGGGAAATGCTCCTTGTATTTTTTGCAATGTGAAAGTTTCTAAATGCAGTGAGATGCTTAGAAAATGCAGTTTTGGTAAGAAGTTTTTAATAGAGGTTTTTTTTTTTCACCAAAGGGAGAGAGACAGCAAGTAGCTAAACCAGATTCTAAAATGCCACCAGTGGTGGTCCTATAAGGATTGGAAGACATGGTTTGCAGGCAGAAAACTCAAGATTCAATTTTCAAAACATTTAAATAGGACTGGCAATGCCTCCATTGTTCATCATTCTGCTGCCCATCAATGTAACTATCAGACCGATTTTGTATAAAGCGTTTCCTTAAATTCCTGTGACATGTTCAGGGACAGCTTATATGGAATTCAGTAACAACATTCTCACTTTTTAGCTCCACTACGCCTAAAGAAAGTTTCACTTATATGGAACTGATTTTTTTAAGGTGCCACTCATCCTTTCCCCAAGGGCAAGTAACAATGTTTTTTTTAAAATCTCATTTGTCATTTTAAGGAAACCATTTTTGCTTCTTCACATATTAGATATTACATATCTAATATGTAATACATATTACATATTCTTCACATATTTCTAGCTCTAGAAATCTCTATGTCTTAGTGTGGAATCCAGGTCTTCCTGATCAGAGTCCAATCTACTTTGTGTGACACAACTAGTTGGACTAAAGTTGGCAGGGTGACTGTATTCCGTGTTGCTGCTCCTACTGATGTTCATTCTCATTCATTCTCTCTGTCTCTTTCTCTTCCTCCCTCCCTCTCCCTCTCCCCCCCTCTACACAGAGGGGGGGGGAGGGAGGTAGATTTTTTTCCTTGACGGGTGTTGTTTTACACTGGGTTTGCATACTTCCTTTTCCAATCACTTTTGCAAATTGCTTGTTAACTGCTTTTCAGTTATTAGCATCAATAAGTTTTACAGCACCAGGTGAGTCTCCTTCTATCCTTAGAGAAAGCAGTTTTAAAGTTTTAAAACTTTACAGTTTTAAGCAGTTTTAAATACAAGTTTAACATTTTTTTTTTGGAATAAACAACAAAAGAGTGATTTTGAAAAGTTACAAATGGTTTAAGGGCCCAGATGGGTTTGAAATAAAACGAAGGAAATCTTTAAATCCTTAAAAAAGTAGGATAATAGTATTCTTTTGAATACAAAAAGTGATACCAATAGGATGGGAATTTGAAGGTTGGACACTAGAAGGAACTAAATATTACAATTAAAGACTTAAGCACTTAAATTTGACTTACTAATACAGAATGGAACAAAATAAATCATCATTGTATTAAATAATATTTGTCAACGAAGGACCTAGAAGTTAATTTTAAGAGTGTCTGCCATTATAGATAAAGTGTTTAAAAGATGTTATTAAAGTGGAACAAGTTTTACCACATAAAACTGAGGCTGATTTCAAAGTGGATTTAAAAATGACAAGCTACAAGGATGATATGGAAAAAGATGTCACACTGGATATACAAACAAAACCAGCTGATGGCTTAATAAGTAAACGAAATATACAAATAACAAAGCATAAAAGCAACCTGGATAACTTTACTGTGTTGGATTTATAAAAGAGACCTGTTAAAACTCTGGAGAATTTTGAGAACAGAATTTTGTGCAAAGAGGCAAAGAAAAAAAGAAAGAAAAGAAACCAAATCCTAAAACATTATTTGAAGGGATTAAAGACCAAGATTATTCAACTAAAAGGAAGGAATGTAAAGTTGGCCTATTTGATCAAAGTTAAAATAGATAAGTTGTTATCTCTGGTAACTTTTAATGGACTTTTGCCGATCAGGCGTGAACAACAAGGCTTTCAGAATTTGTAGATAACGTGCACATAAATAATAATCAGAGTCCTATCCCCTTCCATTAGGAATATCGAGAGAAGACAGATGTGTGATTTTGGGGTATACTGCATTTGTTGCATTCAGGGGAGGCACCCCTGCTTTAATTGGAGAAGTAGACAACCTCAGTGCCACACAACTTTGTTATGTGCAGCCTTTGGATTCCAGTAATGCTTTCTACTTGAAAGTGCTTTTTATTAGGAAACAGAATGTGGTATAAACCCTGCACTGAGGAATCTTCTGGATGGTAGCAAACAAGTAGAGTGCATTATATAGCATATATTCGGTAGTTTTGATCTTGGTGCCATCAGAGTCCGTTGAACGTCAACTCTTAGAATTGCATAGGCATGCTGCTTGCTAATCTCTCATCCGCCTTGGGTTTAGGAGATGCCTTCCCGCGACACTTCCTCAAGCCAGGGAATTCTCTTATCTTCTGACTGAGATCCTGCAGTTTTGCCAGTCCTGGACTTTGCGTCTTTTTGAATGATTGTATTAAAAGGATTTACCTGTGGGTCAGAACAGACAATTTGAGTTTTAAGGGGAACTTTTTGAGCTTGGTTGTTTTCCTGCAGATGTTTCCTTACAAAACTAGGCATCAGTGCTCACATGTCATGTGTCTGTTGCAAATGTACAAGTTTTATGGAAGTATAATATAACCAAACATATGTAAGAGGAGTGGCAGAACATAGGATAGAGTGAAGAGAAGGATCAGCCTAGAATCCCTACATAGCCATAAATGAACTAAGTCCTGCCCCTTCCCTTGAATTCCTTTGTCCCTTATCTAATTCCAAGCAGATGTACATTAGTTGAGAATATTCCTGTACATGGGAATGAGTACCAATAAATCAGTTTAACTGGACCTTCACGTGTGGACCTAATCTTTCGGGTCTGACAATGTATGACTTTGCATTTCTTCTTAGATAAGATTTGAAAACTTGTCATTTAGGCTTGAGTTTTGAAGTTCATGAATTCCTTCCTTTGTTCAAGGGAATCTGGGTAGATCATAAAGATCACTTTAATAAAAAATACCACAGTGACATTTCATGGTTTCCAACAGTGCTTCAAAATAGCAGGAAATAAATTATTGGTCCAGCTCATGGACCAAATAACAGGTCTAGAAATGCATTAAGCATAACATCTCTTCTTAACTTACACACTTTTATTGATATGCTATTTTGAAGTAATCTTAACACACGGGGAGTTAAAAAGCAAATTACATATTTGATGACACTGGTTGATTGCAGAATTACGGTGATCCAAGCCGTTCTTTCCAATAGCCAAATACTTACATTTAACCAAATTTAGTTTTCCTTTTAAGCACAGTGTTTTTCCATTTCTGTTAATATAGAAATTGTAATCTTTTTCTAAAATTAAACTCTATATAAAACCATAATGTATATTTATGGGGCTCTAAAACTTTATGGAAACAGAAACTATTAATGGTTTGTTCTGGAACAGGACTGTTTCACAATTGTATGCATTATTGACGAGAAATATTAATCTGGTGATAAGGAGAGTTCTGAAGATACAGATAGGCTTAGTTTGAATCTCTTCCCTACTTGTGTTTATAGGGTTAGTAAATTTAGCTTTTTCCTACATGCAGCAATACTAATAAGGAAAAATTTAATACATAGTTTACAAAAAAAAAAAAAAAGATAGAATTTGAAACTCTGACTCTAATTCTTAGCATGGTTGTGTTAGCTGGCCATGTTGGGAATAGTGCAACAATAAGAAACTTGATTTAGAAATAGAAGATAAATAAGTCTCAAAGGTGCTTTTTCAAAAGGCAACTGGGCTTTGTTTCTCCCTGAAGATGTTTCGCTTCTTATCCAAGAAGCATCCTCAGTTTTCAGAACTGAAGAAGCTTCTTGGATGAGAAGCGAACTGTCTTCAAGGAAAATTCAGGTTTTTTTTTTTTTAAAAAAAAGCTCCTTTGGGACAACCATGACCTGGATGACTGAGAATCTCCATGGACAGAAGATACAGAAATTTCAATGAATTTGCTGCTTGAACATGCAGAATACATCACCTCTTGGATTCCCCCTTTCTGGATTGAAAAACAAAATAAGGATGTGAAGAACTGCATTGTTGCATCCACCAATATCCCTCTGGACTCTGTGTTGACCGATCCAAAGCAGCCGCCTAATTTTCGGTTCTTTCCTTCCAGTTGGTACCAGAGGACGAGAATCCTTTCTCTGTGTCCTCTCTTCCCTTCCTCTCCTTTTTAATCACTCCTTTTCCTTTCGTGATATGGAAGAAGTTGGAATCTCAGGGGTAGCTAATCCATTTCAGATGGTCTCCATCTCTCCCCCTTCGTCCTCCCCCCCCCCCCCCCCCCAAAACCAGGGTGCTCAGATCCCTCCCTTCAAAGCAGAAGAATGGCAATTAGTAGTGGCTTGTTTATCAGCCGTTCGGCCGATTGAAGTCTTCCAAACCCTTCTGCTTGTTCTTCCTCCTTCCAGCCTTTTAACTCCTGCCTTTAAAGAGCCCAGGGGATGTTGATTATTTGGCTCCTGTAGTCTCCTCCTCCTCCTCCTCCTTCATGAGAGCCACCCCTAAGCAGAATACGCACTCTGGAATGACAGGCATTCATTCGTTCCTCTTTGGAGGGAGCTGGCATGGAAGCGTATTTATGAGAATTACACCGTGCCCTGAACCAGGGGTACAGGATATACCGTGGCAGGGCTCGGACCCACAATCCTGAACTTTTTCTGACTTGGGGCCATTCGACTTGGGGGTGTCTCGGAAGCGAGTGGGGGGGTGTTTGCAAGCGGTGAAGTTTCTCCACCCTGCGGAGTCTTGTCAACTTTCAGGGGCTGATGCCTGCCTCTCGAATCGGCTTGCCTTGCTCCTTCTCCCTCTGAGCCTTCCTTGAAGAACAGAAGAATGGGACAGACGCGCTATTCAAGACCGGTATATCCAGCTCCCTTGGGTGAGTTAATGGAGGGTCTAGTTGCCGCTGAAAGCACAGCTAAGAATCGCAGGCAAAGTCAAAGCAGAGTTTAAAAAGAGACGGCTAGGATTGTGTAAGCTGGAAGGGCTTTGGGATTCTCAGAAGTGCCGAGGAGAGATTGTTTTCGTAATCCTTGCTTTAAAAGGAAAAAAAACAAGAGAGAGAGAGAGAGAGAGAGAGAATCTCTCCTTTGGAACACCTATTGCTCTGTAACTTGTACCTGGTGTACTTTAGGAGCTAGTCTTTGTGATCTTTCGCTTGTTGCCGCCAGAGTGGTAAAAAAAATTAGAAGAAGTAAATTTGGTCAGCAAGAAAATACGTATCATGCCTTTGGCTTGGAGTGAAATGCTTCAGACAGAGATGATGTGCTGATTTGCTATTTCTCCCCTGTATGAATAATACTTAATTATTAAAAGACACTTCTTTTAATCACCTACTATCCTTTACTCAGTCATTCTTTAGCAGGATATTTAAAAAAAAAAAACACTGATTCATATGCACTTGCTTCCATTTAAAAAAAAAAAAGCCGTTCCCTCCATGATCTTACACTTTAGAATTAAAATGGATTTATTATGAAAGAAAGAAGGAAGGAAGACAAGTTTCAGGTTGAGGATTCCAGACAGTGCCTTTCTAGTCCCATCCCATAGGTTTTAGGCACTATTAATGCCACAATTGGAGTCCCTGCAAAATACCATAACTGTACATCTCTCGGGTTCTGATGAATTTTTTGGCAAAAGCAGAGAGTCAAAGAATTGGGGCAGATGTAGGGGGGACGTCTTGTGCTGCCTCAATTCAGGGTAGCCTTGGTGACAGTGGAGGAAATGTTCAAGACTGGGTAGGTTTTGCATTTTAAAAGTTAGCATCAGAATCGTACAAGGGATCTCTTCTTCTTCTTCTTCTTCTTCTTCCTCTCCTGGACCCAACTGAACCATCTAGGGAGCCATCCAGAAAATATCTCTATAAGGCCACCAAGATTGACGTGGTGTTGCCTGGTAGTCAAACCAGGAGCTGAGTAGAGATGCTGACAGTTGAGGTTTTTAATGTACCTGCCATTAATACATTTTTTTTTTCACAGTACTCCAAACTTGAGTGAAGAAATGTTTCTTAGCCTGAATCTGTGCAGGATATATATTGCATAAATAGGGTGTGTCTTTAGTAGAGACAGTCTGTGATTTGGGAAATAATGAGCTTTAAGGGTTAAATATATTGGCAGCTTGTCTTGTGGCCTCTATTATAAGTTAGTTGCATTTTAAATCTCCACTGTGCCTTCCCATTTTTAAGAGGTGATTTCTAATTTTGTGTGTCTGTGCACTCCCTGCTAATTTAAATTGCTAAATGTATTTAGCAATTTCCTTATTTGCAGAGGAGCAGATTAGATAACAGCAGACAGATCCTTGTTTCTATTATCTTGGGTTCCCAACGTTTAGAGGACTTAAAGCAAAGCACTGATAGTTGAAATAAAAACACAATTCTTTAGCAATAGATAAACCTTCAATGTACCGAAACCTTCAATGTGCCCTGTGAAATGGTTAGTACCGTATTTAGGGTGCAACATAACTTGAACACATTTGTATTGCCCGTTCTCTTTTACTCACCTGGTGTTACCGAATCAAATCAACACACCTGTTTTGCAGCTTACTTTCTTATAGGTCGTATGCATTCACCAGAGACAGAACATATATTTGCCCTTATTGCAAATAGAGGTATGTGGCATTTGTTAATGTGGTTACAATATTGGAAATAGCCATTATTTTTCTTTAGCAGGTTGTTTTTCTTTTCAGGAAGATAGGTGGGGTGACCTTCCCCATACTTAAGCCCTGAGTGCACATAGTTTTGATTTCAGTAAACATATTGCAAGACAGTGGTGTTCTTGGGAAGGTGTGGGGAAGTGTGGAATTCAGTTCAAACTTTAAAAAAACAAATCTTTCCCAGATAAGGGAAAGCTTATCCAGCTTGTCCGTGTGTGGGTTCCCAGTGATATACTGTGCCATGTAAGTGATCACATCAAATGTGAATATCATATATTACATTATACAGGGTAACAGACAGCTGTGGATATGCAACCTGTGGGCCCCTGGTTGTGTGAATGGAAAATCTGTAGAGATTCTCAGTTATCCAGGTCATAATTGTCCCAAACATGCTTTCTTCAGGAGGCAACTGGATTTTCTTTGTTTTTCTTTTTGAAGACATTTTGCTTCTCGTTCAAGAAGCTTTTTCAGCTCTGACTGGATGGTGGGGAATGGAAGGATTTGTACTCCTTGCAGACAGCTGGAAATTTGCATCCTTTTAGTGGGTCTTTGAAGCACTTGGAGGTTTATCTGTGTCCTCGGGATCATCTGAGTAATGCTCCTGGTTCCTGTAGTCTGCATTTTTTCCTCTGGAAATCCATTCCTACTCCCACACCATTCAAAGGATGTTATGGGGAGGATCAGTTCCTTTTATTTCCTCCAAGAATTTGCTGCCACTACCAATATACTCTTGTTCCTGCTGAAGTAGAGCAGAGCCTGTTGGTTTTTTAAAAAAACATCTGCAGCATTATAGTGTTTAAGCTAAATGGGCTGTAATTCTGGCTCTTTTTTCACCCTTAGCGCTATTAGCTCTGGTTATGATGCAAAAAATGACAAAATATGCTGTGTGACTTCGTGATGCAAACCTCATTATTTTGTGCTTCATACCGGATGCACAAGTCACAGGGTTTTCCACAGTGATGCTATGATGTGTGTTTTGGACACGCCCTCCACCCCCTGTTCCCTTTGTGTTCACTTGACGTTCATTCAGGCAACTTAGGGAACTATCCAAGCCATGGGCTGAAAGCGAGAGTTAGCCGTCCCCAATTACAACTTCTGCCAGGTTTCCACTATTTTTCTCAGTGGTTCCTGGACAGTGAAAGTGTTTGCATAGTGGATGCATTATGTTCAAAAATACGATTTGTGCCCAAATTAAGCAGCTGTTTTGTGATACGGAGTTTAAATTTGCAAAAGAGGAATAACCCGTTGTTTTTAATCAGAAAATATGCCAGCTTGAGAAGAGCGATAAAGCCCGTGCAGCCTTCCTTAATGAAAGAACAAAAATAGACACTTGGTCTACTTTTTGCTGGGTTGCTGTTACAATAGCACGAAAAGACTGCAGCCTGGGATCCTCTACCATAGCCGGAAGTAACTAGCTTTTATTCTTTTTTTTTTCTAATTTAAATATATATATATAGCAATATTTGAAGAAACACATGAGCTCCAACGTTTGTACCAGTCTATATAAATCTATTAGCAAAGATGTACAGAGAGAGCACTTCATGGCCCTGTGATTTTCAGTGGTTTTGTTAAATAATTTCAATGTTGACATTGTTTACCTCCAGAGAGTTTGCTGCTAGCCTGCGGTGAGTACTATTGTATTAATGCGATGGTTGAAATGCTAGGAAGAAGCCCCTTCGTATTGTTCCAGGATCTATTGGATCACTGTGCTACATCAGAGCCATCATGGGTTGTTCTTGGCATTGTGACATCAAACCACCTTCCTCATCTGCTTGTCACGTGGTGCTTGGTGCAATGCAGGATACACTAACAAAATGCCATCAAATTTATTGAGTTATTAAGCACCTGGTGAATGCAAGACATTGGCATAGGTATATATGCATTTCTGCTAGCAAAGGGGGCTTTATTAAAAAAAAAGCTTTAATTTGCTGGTATTTATGGCACTCAACTGCTTTCTGGCTTTGTTGTTACGGGAAACTGCTAACTCAAATTAAGATGATAGTTAACAGTTGAAGAAGTAGGCAAGGCTACTAATGCATTACCCCAAAATGTTAAATATGAGTAAAGAAGGATAGGATCTACTGTCTGTGTTAAAGCCAGAGGTTTTCTTTTTAAGACTGATGGGTGAATAAAGGTGCTTTTTCAAGAGGCAACTGGATTTTCTGACACCTTTGGGACAATCATGTTCTGGATGACTGAGAATCTCCATAGACATTGATCGGTGAACAGTTAGGAAGATTATTTCAGTCTATGATTACTGTGATGAGATTACTCTATGCTCAATAATGGAAAGATTGCGCATTATCCACTATGGAGCAATGGTTAGAGAAATTGACAGAATGTGCCGTGATAGGAAAATTGACTTATTTCAGTGTTTCTCAACCATGGGAATTTTAAAGAGGGGGGAATTCAACTCCCAGAATTCTGGGAGTTGAAGTCCACCCCTCTTAAAGTTCCCAAGGTTGAGAAATGCTAGACTTATTTGATTAGAGAGAAGTCATTATTGACATTCATCAATGACTTCAAAACACCTTACAGACTTTTTCCACAAGAAACAAAAATGTTTGTGATGTAGGCTTTTGATGATTAGAAAACGTAAGTTATAAACCCACATTACCTGTTGATCCATCCATGGTTTGCATAATACAATCTTAGAATATTTATGAAGAAGAAAGTGAATATATTTTATTTGACTAAGATTAGCATACTTCATTGGGTTTTTGCATTTAACAGTTGTTACTGTAGAATATTTGATCTGATTACAGGTGGTTGCGCTACAACATCCATTGCTTCAGAGTGATTGTATCCCAGCATGTCTTCACTGAATTTCCCCTTTACAATCAGTAATCAATAGGATGAATTCTAGAACCTCATTGTTTTTTCCATGGAATTAGGAAGAATGATGAATATTATAATTTGGGGCTGCAGCAAAAGTCATTAAATAATGTTCCAACTGTGAACTTGGAGATGATCATTTCACCAAGTGAATGAATAAAATTAGACCTCTTATTAAAATACAACACATGAGTTAAGAGCTGCCCTTGGCATTTTACTAAAGAGGAAGCGAGTCTGCAAATACTTGGAATATTTAGCAATGTTGCTTTTGATGTCCAGAACTATGTTTGCAAAATAAATCCTAAAATATTGGTTTTTGTGTTCTGCAAAATATGAAGAATGATTTTTCAGAGGTACTCTCCAGTCATGGGATCTCTTTTGGTCTATTTCATAAATTTTAGATCTTACTCTTCTTTGTGAGCAGGTCATGGAGATCAAAATACATAATGTTCCCAGTGATTTTCCTCTGGTTGCTGATCAAACCCAGACTTGCTTAGTTTTCAGAAACTATAATCTATACATTTTTCCTTTTATGCAGTGTTGGTTATACAGTAATGTTGATTTGTAAATAAATCCTGATTTAAAGTGAGTTTTCTTGAGTGGTGTTTTAAATCAGTTTTAGTCAAATCCACTCTACCAAGAATTCAAGAAGAGCTCCTTCCCTTTACCAACAGAATAAAATTATTTAAGTAGAGATGCCAAGGAGGTGGCAAGGAGGTGTCCATATACAAGAAATTTGGTCTTTTGGAGAGGATATTTACCTTGATTTTCTTGTCTTCTCCAAAACATGGAGTTGTGAATCCCATCCAGAGATTTCCCTTAAGTGATTAACGTGCTAAATAGTTATTTACTGCATAAGTATGGTCGTAATTAGGTTTTGCATTGGGAGGCATTCTATATCCAAGCGTTTGTTGCATCTGGAAATATTCTATATCCCTTTAGTTTGTTTGTTTTAAGGACACAGGTCTTAAAAGTGTTCTTGTGCAGCTGAGATTCAAAAATGTCTCATGTCCATATTTGCCAAAAAATAGACTTATTTTTGGAAGGTTCCATGGGAACACCACCCCCTACAGCGTGAGCCATTTGTGAGTAAGGCAGTTACTTTAAAATCTCCCTCTGAAATAATTATGATAACACCTGATCTACACACTGAGTACGTGGAACAAGAGTAATAATATATTATTTCTTCATCAGATTGATCTTGAATTGACTTTGTTCCCATTCACACATGATCTCAACTGTATCGTTATATGATATGAACCATTATGAAGTGCCACACCAATGATGCCAGCCTCCTAAAAACAAAAACATTTGTTTGAATAGAAGCCTGACGATAGGATGTTGTAAATACTGGAAGAAATTGAAATGGCACTCCTGTGCAAGGAGAACATTTACATCATAGTTTCATTCAAGTGGACATTCTTGGTGTAGAGTAATAAGGAATGGCAAGTTAGAAGTAAATGTTAGAAAATTTCAAATCAACTTAGAAGTAAATGTTAGAAAATTTCAAATCAACTTAGGTTTCATGCTTATGATAAGCCACAAATTTTAACCCTGGAATTTTGGAATTTGCACATGGTATGGCCATTGCTGAGAAATGCGGTGGCCATAAATCTGGAGAGTATACAGGTTGCAGAATTCCTAAAGTGATTCCTAAAGTGATCTGTTTCATTTTTAACTTCATGCGGTATGTAAACTAGGAGAAGGAGCAGGAGAACCTGGGGTGGAGTCAAAAGAGAAATCAGCCTAGACTCTCTATGTAGCCACAAACATTAATTCCAACTCCTCTTGAATTCCACACCAAGATAGTGCTGTTAGTTGAGTAGATTCTTGTATATGGGCATAATTATTAATACATCAATTAAATTGGAACTTATGTCGTCCTGATCTTTCACGCCTGACAGAAACTAGTAATTAGTATTTGTCATCTATGCTTTAAAATATAGCTTGGTTTGTATTGTTTTTTTGTTTACAAACATTTTTAATAGTTTGTAAACCACCCAGGGCCCCTGGGAGTTGGGAGGCATAAAGATGATCATAATAATAGAAAAATTATGAATTGACAAAATTTCTGTTTGTCAGTTACAAAACACTACACTTCTTGGTTTTGTACATATATTACACCAATATATTACAACAGCCTAGGTTCCTGGGAAGAAAATGAGTATGAAGACCAATATCAGCTAAAGAACTGGCAGCTTGATTTTACAATATTGTGAATAAAATGATATAATAGTGAATCTGAGTGGCATAATACCTGAAATCTAAGGAATAATTTCTTGGTTACTCTTTCATTTAAAATTGATTGTGCCGTTTTGGAAGTGAGTTCTGTAGCAACGAATCAGATGTGATTCATCTGTTTCCTAGATGATTTTTTTTTGAAATTTTGTTTGACTTTGTGTGCAGTTTGTTCCTACAGAAAACTGTTTATTGCGTTGTCATATTTGTAGAACGAGAAAGATGCTGACCAGCTTTCTTCATTGTGATACCCTTTTAGATGTTAAGAAATGGCAACTTCTATATTCTCCACGTAGAATACGTGACATAATTCTAGGAATTGTAGACACATTCTGGGGCATATGAAGTTCAGTAAACTCATTTACAAAATGCCATAGGTTAACTCTGAGCAGAGATTGAGTACATGTGGCCATATGACTAGGTGGTTAAAAAGTTGGAAAGTTGCAACAGTCAAACCTTAGCAAACTTTTTTGGAAGATTGGACAGGCAATAACCTAAGTGGGAAGCTGAGGCATAGGGCATTTTGATGATTTTTAAAATAAAATATTCCTGCTGATGCCCCCCCCCCCAAATAAAATGTAAGTTTATGGAAATGACAAACAAAAAAAAGAAGTATGAATTAAAAGTGACTCAAAGGCAGAATATTTATCAACGACTATGAAAAGGCTTTCTTTTGGCTAATGGAGCTTCTTGTAAATCATGTTGGTTGACTAATATTTTACAGGGAAAACTCCAAGTGCATAAAACGTCTCAAAAGGGTAAAACCTAAATGGATTTTCCATATCTGACATTGCTTTGCTTTATAGAACAGCATCGGACTTAAGCTGCAGGCATATTTTCCCACAGATCCTTTCTCTTCCTTCTGCGCAGTCTTTTGTTTTTAAAAATGTTTGGGGAATGCCAGAACAGTAGGTGGAGTGGGAGCCTGTTATTGTGTTGATTTCCTGAGATTGTTACTTTTGGCGTGGGATGCTTTTTCTCCCACTCCCCACTCGTTTAGAACAGGAAGTGAATCAAGGCCACCCAGCCCCTCATAATTCTAGCTTGTTTTCTGTCTACCCATTTTATAGCAAGCCTATATAACAGTGTGTGATGAACAGTATTTGTGTTACGGTGGTACCGGTAAAGGATTGCTGAACCCTACCAAACATTGTGTGCAGAAACTATTTTCCCAAGGTTTTTTCCTGTGTATTTTCCTGTTGTGTAAGGCTTAAAAAAAAAAAACCTTAAAAAGTTACAGTATATTCCAGCTACAGGTTGTCCCCTATGTATGACCCCAGTTGAGTCCAAAAGTTGCTAAGCAAGTGTGGTAATATATTTTATTCTGCAAGTCCTTGTAGCAAGACAGTTGTTAAGTGAGTTTTGCCCCATTTTATGACTTTTCTTGCCACAGTTGTTAAGTGACTCACCCTGAAGCTGGCCTGGCCGAAGCCATCTTGGAGCTTCAGTGCTGTTGTTAAGTTGTTACGTGAGCCACACAGTTGTTAAATAAATCTGGCTTGCCCATGGACTTTGCTTGCCAGAAAGTCACAAAAGGGGTTCACACAACTTCAGGATGCTGCAACCGTCATAAATATGAGTCAGTTGCTAAGTGTCTGTTGTGGTTAGCTGGTACCAGGTGCAATCGGCTGAGGAGAGCGAGGATTCAGATGAGGGGCCAGGACCATAAGGGAGTGGACTGCTGTCTTCAGAGATTGTGGGGGCTGGCAGCAGCAATGAGGAGGTTCCCGAGGAGCCTGTGCCAAGTGTGCGTGTAGGAAAGAGCAGCTACAACAGCACGGGCAACTCAGGAGTAAGGCTGCAAGGTAATGGCCCCTCCTTCAAGAAGATTAAAGCCAGCTGTGAAAGGAACGTACTTTGCAGAAAGCAAAGACATTTTGAAACTCCAGCCTCGTGGACATTCCAGTATCCCAGATTTTCTATTTGAAGATTCTTGTATTGTAAATTGTTTCTTGTCTGTTATCTTTGGACAAATCTTGCACAGTTTGGCAAGGCTTGTGCTTTTCACAGCGAATTATTTTGTAAAAAGCATTACAAGGTTTCTGTTCCTTTTGGATTGTGTTCGATTTGTTGGAAAAGGCCGTGGGTCATAACAGTGTCTGAATTTTGATCGTGTGACCATGGGGATACTGCAAGGGTTGTAAGCATGAAAAATGGTCGCCTTTTTGTCACTTCAAATGGTCACTAGATGAACCGTTGTAAGTCAAGGTCCACTGTAGATACCTTCATCTGGAACTGAGGTACCATCGTGCCAGTGTCCTCTTATAATGAACGTTCCTCTTTTCTCTTCTGTGTGCAGCTGAGGAGAGGGAGCAGCCGACACAGGATGCCGGGACGGTGGCTGAAGTTCTGGAATCTGGCGACACCACCCCTCCTTGCAAGAGAAAGAGCAAGTTTGCTGGGTTTGGCAAGATCTTTAAGCCTTGGAAGTGGCGGAAAAAGAAAACCAGTGGAAAGTTTAAGGAGACCTCAGAAGGTGACCTGCCAGGCTCCAGTTCTGCTCTTCTCCCTTTAAGCCCCTGTGCATTTTTAGCCTGGTTTTGCTCACTGCATTATTAAGTGGTAAAGTGGCTTGTTGGGGTTGGGTTTTTTTTTTTTTTTGGCTTTGAGTGGTAATGAGAGACTCTAGCCACTGTATTTTGTAAATCATGTTTTGTGGCTTAATTCAAAGGAAGGTTTAATTGACAACCTCCCGTGACTTCCGGAGACCCTAGCGCTTGTTTTGGAAAGGGTGTTTGTTCTGATGCCATTTTACCTCCCTGGCTGCTTTGGCCACAGTTCCCTGACTCATCAGGCCTTCCAGTTCAGAAATTATCGGGCATAGCACTTTGCATTCTTTACCTGAAAATAGCAGGTTCCAGATCTGCCTCCACAGAAATATTTTCAAATGTTTTATTGCCTAATAATCATGATATCCAACTGTGGCTATAACTAAGCTTTGTTGAAGTGGCCCGTGGAAAAATGCCAAATAGAATTTCAGACAAGGAGGGCATAGTTAAAGTTCCATTGACTGTTTTCCAATTGTAAAATATTGTATGCATTTAGCTATGAGGTGTTATCCTCCTCTTGCAACAGGGAATTGAGGGAAATGAAATATTTACAAAAAGAATGTATACGTAACGCTCGTCCTCAAAGCTATCACAGTGAGCCACTTAATCATTATCTTAAAAGTGATTTTTTTTTCACCTCCCTCATCTTTGCCCTCCATTCTGAGTGCTGTTCTTTTCTTTCCAATTTAATGTCAGTTTTAGAACGAAAGATTTCAATGCGAAAGCCAAGAGAGGAGCTCATTAAAAGAGGAGTTCTGTTGGAAGATGTTGAACAGGGTGAGCTTTTACCCATTGTCTTCCTCTGTGTATTGTGCATTTGCAGTCCCGGCTCTGAATAAGCCTCATCTTTGGCATTTCATGCCTGGGTATCCCCTCGTTTCCTCCCATCCCTTCCCCACTTCTGCTAAATGTGACTCTCTGTCCTTGTCTGCCCTTTGAACATTTTGGATATTATATGTTCCGGGGAGAGCAGGCTAAAGAACGGTTTCATTTATTTCCTTCCTTTTCTCCAAGGAGACATTTTAGGTTGACAGATTATGAGTTTCTGAAGGTCAACTAGTGAGTAACCGAAAAGCTGATTTGGATTCCAAGGTAGCAATGGAAAGGAATAGCAATAGCACTTATATACTGCAGGAGAGTGCTTTACAGAACTCTCTGAGCGGTTTACAAATGTCCGCATATTGCCCCCCAACAATCTGGGTCCTCCTTTTACTGAGCTTGGAAGGATGGAAGACTGAGCCAACCTCGAGCCAGTCCGGATCGAACTCCAGGCTGTGGGCAGAGTTAATCTGCAGTGCTGCATTCTAACTACTGCACCATCACAGCTCATTAAATAGTGCAAGGGTAAAGCACAGCCTTTATATCTGAAGGACTTTGGTTCAATTCTTGATAATTGATAATGGGATTGGACAAGACTGCATCCAAAATTGTGGGTGACTAGGTGATTGACAGCCAACTAGCAAAATTCTTAGCAGATGTGAGCTCATATCTGGATAATTTCAGACTGGAAAACTCAGTGATTTGGGACCCTAATTTAGATTTGGGGGACCATAAATGTAGACTTTTGAAGCATAAGCTGCTGTGGCATCGCCAGTCACAAACCCCTCATTTTCTGGAAAGTAACAAATGAGGACCTCATCGCAAACACTTTAGATTCCCATGGTGTTCCTCTTCCCCGCTCCCTGGTGGGCACACTTTCTTAAAAGAATGCCCTTCATACAAGAACTATTTCTATTGATAAAGAAAATATTAAATATGGTCTCCTTTTCAGCAATTAACTACTTCTTTAAAATGTAAAGAGCATGAAAGAAGTTTTAAAAGTCAGGGGTTGCAGTGGGCTTGGTGGAATTCAAGGAACATATCAGTGGGTCTGTTGGTTTTTCACAGGGAACAGATTGGGGGATACAGGCATGGAAAATTGTGAGTAAAACGGACTGCAAATCTGTCAGGTTTTCCAAAAGGCAATTGGACTTTATTTTTTCCTTGAAGGCTTTACGCTTCTCATCCAAGAAGGAAAAACCAAGTCCAAGTTGCCTTTTGAAAAAACACGTTTGGGACAACCATGACCTGGATGACTGAGAATCTCCATAGTTGACTGCAAATCTGGCTCATTACAAGACTTCCCTAGGGCTTCCCTAGGGCTACTTTGCTACCCCAAGGTATCTTTACCTGAGGTGGAATGTTCTAAAAGGCATAGAGTTTAGATAGATTTGACCTACAGAATCTCCAGCAGAAAAGACTTGACTGTTCCCCAACTGGATGATGAACTGAATTCCTGAGCTAAAGGTGTCCTTTTTCAAACTTAGGAATGTTGCAAAGAGCAAGTTGGTCGTTCTCCCTTCCCCATTCAGTCAGATGCTAAATAGATACTAAACCATAGATCTGGTGGCGGCGGGGACTGTTTTGCAGAATGTTCCATGAAATTGCTGACCCAGCTCTTCCTACAGGAAAAGGCAGAGGAGGAAATACCCTTCCTTTCTCAGTAGGACAAGAAATCCATGCCTCTCCCTTCCTATTCCTTACTTACTGCGAGTTAAAAATATTTGTGTTCCACTTGACAGCAGGACTCGGAGGCTCACTGTAAATCAGGGGTGTCAAACTCAAGGCCCGGGGACTGGAACTGGCCTGTGGGGTGCTTAGATCTGCCCTGGAAACAGTGAAGGACCCACCTGCGGTCTCTCAAGCTCCATTTTCTCTGGCAGAGGGTTGCAGGAGGCCATTGCAGCTGAAAACAGAGCTTGGGAGCCTGTTTTCACTGACAAGAGTGCTCGGGCCACCACAGGCGCCCCCCCCCCCCCCCACACAAGTGACATCAAGCTGGCCACACACACACCCTGCTCCCCCTCCCCAAGAGATCAAACACAACCCTGATGTGGCCTTCCATGAAATTGAGTTTGACACCCCTGCTGTAAATGAACTCAGAATACAAGAGATCTGGAGAGGTAGCGATAGAGGCTCACTCCCCAAGTTTCTTCCTTCCTTCAGTGTGATTACATCGGAAAAGAAGAATCATTCTGTTTCTGTTGGCTTGCTCCCAGCATTGTCTATACATCTGGGATACAGCATGCATCTGTGGGATGCACATAGCCTCTAGCTAGCCCTGGGTTTTTCAAGTTGCACCACTGCACAGCCTAAGAAAGAAGAACAGCTGCCCTCAAACGCCATGCCACACTTTTAACATCAGGCTGAGCAGATTCGGTGGCTATTTGTCGACTCTTCCCCACTCAGAGAATGAGGTGCATTATATTTATAATTACATTGGAGTAATTTCTAAACCTACACCTATGAATCAGCATTTATGAGCTCATGCAAATTCTACACAACCTGCATGTGAGGTGGTGTATCAGTCACCATCCCGGGAAAAGGGTGTGCAGCTTGTGCTGAGTGGAGCGAAAGCATTTGTTCTTCTCTCTTTAATTGCGTCTCTCTCTTTTTGGGAGAGTGCAGGGTAGCTCCCAATTGGACATGAGTAAGCAGTTTGGACTGGTTTCTTATTTTGAGCTTCTTTTCTAAACTGCCTTCCTGGCCACCACCACCTCTCTCTGTTTTCTTCCCTTTGGTGTGCAAAGAACACAAAAACACACAAACAGTTCATCTCTCTCATCAGTTTTAGGAGTTCACACAGATCAGAGAGTTTTTTTCTCTTGAATCATATAGACCAGGGGTCTCCAACCTTGGCAACTTTAAGCCGGGAGCTTTGCTGGCTGGGGAATTCTGGGAGTTGAAGTCCTCCCAGCTTAAAGTTGCCAAGGTTGGAGACCCCTGATATAGACCACATGAGAAGTGGTTGCCTGTATACGTGCCAAGATAATTTACTCAGCCGCTACTTTCATTTCCTCCTTAAACAGAAGCTGGAAATTCAGAAACACAGAACAATGTCTGTATTTTGTTGGGGCTGGTGAAAATGATACAGACATATGATATATACAGCATTGGAGAATAAACAGTGTGTAACGTCACACTATAGTTACACTGTTAGAAAAAAAATGAACAAGTATAAATGTACTGCATAGAGTAACATTTGGAAAAAAGGAAGGAACAGACAAATGAATAAATGTGTAAATATTAAAAACAGGAAAGCATAAACTTGTAGGTACAAGTTACAGCATGAAGTTGAATATTATTATGATAGGAGTTTCTTATTAATAACATGAACCTAAAAGACAGCCTATTTAATTATAGCCTGAGACAAAGTTACAGAATTTAAAAATATGTGCGCATAAGTAACAGTACATCTATATACTACTAAAACTCTGTAAACTTCAGTCGCAGAAATGGGAATATCATAGGGCAACAATTTTTGAATCAACACATCTGAAGTGGACTAATTTGGACAATGCATCCTCATCTGAGTCCCATTGCTTTTATGGGCTTGAAATTTGGCAAAATTGTGGCTGTTTCAGCATTGCTGCGCTGCCACACCGCTGCCCTGCTGTGGTCTTGTGATTTTAGTTTCCCTGTCAACTTCCCCAATAAAAGTCAATGGGGATGCCAGCAGGAAGTCGGAGGTTGTTCCCTTGGGCCAGAGCTGCTAAACAGTCGATTTCCTAACCTTCCACCCGTAACTATGGTTGGCATCTTCAGATGCAAGGTAGCCTGTGGACCACAGTCACTAAACCTTGAAGCTCAACACTGCCTAGTAATTTACTAGCTGCAAAAGATCACATTAGGATGTTGTTGATTTATTGAAGCCACACATGACAAATTGAATGTCATTAAAGAAAGAATCTGAAAAGCTAGTTGTGTGTTCACCGAACTGTTTGACACTGGGTGTTTTATGGATCAAAGAACCCATGGGGAAACTTGACTTTCTGCAGTAATCCTTTTTATAAAAACTCATAATCCTCTCCCCCTCCATGTACTGAAAGCAAGATATGCCCCTTTTATCACAAATCCCCCATGGGATATTAAGAAGGCACAAGCCATATATTTCACCAAAATATGGATATTTCTCTTTCTGGCTTTATGAATCCCCTGACTCCTGCAGAATATTTCATGCTAAATTTCCATTTAGGCATAAGACAGTAATAAGATTATAGAAATAGATATTTCTTAGATTGGGAGTAATCAGCAATATTACACAGCAAAATCTCCTTTGTTCCAACCCTCCTGCCCTCTGAATTTGAATGATAACCAGTATTTCACAAGAAGGGCATAATTCCATTAAATTTCACTGTTAGGAGGCTTTGCTCTGGGCCAAACAAAATATAAGATTAATCAAGCTCCATAGATCTCCGTATCCCATATTTCTCATATTGAGCTATTCTCGCTATTTTTAACTGAAGTTTATGCTGCATGGGTCATGTCTCCCCCCCCCCATCTACTATATTCCTGACTTTTAACAACGAGCAGAAGTTAAACAGAGGGCAAAAGGCTACTTCAAACATTAAACACTTCAGTATAAATAATGTATTAACAATGATAAGACCTTCACAAGTTATGCATGTCATCCAAGTATGTGAACTTGCTTAGCTAAACAAAACAAGTATTTTACATTTTTTAATCCCTGCTATATGATCTTTCTCTCTCTTTCTTTCTCTTTCTTTCTTTCTTTCTTTCTTTCTTTCTTTCTTTCTTTCTTTCTTTCTTTCTTTCTTTCTCT